GTAATAGAATGACATGTCCCTTAAAGAAACCTTGTCAAGTAAGCAGTTTCAAGCAAGAGGTTCCTTCTGATTATTGATTAACCAGGTGTGGGTTTTTCCAGCGTCTGCAGCCTTGAGACCTCAATAGACATTCCTGGGGCATAGCCTACTCTTTTAAAATGCATGTATCAGCAACTTCAACACAATTCTTATCAGGAAGGACGCGGGGTCAAGCTGCCCTTTCTGTGGCACCCAAAACCCCCTCCCCTCCTGCCTTGGTCAAGCTGAGATTGCTACATGGCCACTTTACAGCTTGCTGACTAGGCTGTCTTTAACAATAAGCCATAGTGGTTTCAAGCACTTTACCGGTTTGCCAAAGTCTCCCTGTACAGTGGGGGAGGGGGGACAGCCGGGGAGGGGGTGGGGGCTAGCCTCCCCGGCCGGGAGTGCAAGGGCCAGGCAGGATGGTCCTGTGGCCCGAATGTGGCCCGAGAGCCACAGTTTGCTCACCTCTGTATTATGAGCTTACTCCCAGGACTCAGACATAACTCATCCCTGGGCACCTGGCAGATAAGGGCTGGACCTCACATCTAGACTCTCCATACAGCAGTGGCACTAATCCTCAAATCTCTAGCCTGGCCTAGCAATCTTTCGTTCCCTTTTCTGAAGTGGAACAGGAAAGTCATTGAATGGGGAAAGATGGCTTAGGGATGAAGTATTCTGCCTAATGCATTTCCTATACCTTCTCCCAGGATGGATCCTGCACCGAGACTGGCTTACCTTGATGTCTCTCATGCCAGCCTGCTGAATGAAACCTGGTCACGGGGAGGCAACGAGCAATGCCAGAGGTACATTGCCAACCTCGTTTGCTGCTTCCCCAGCCTCTGCGTGCTAGATGACAACGGGCACCCTGTCTCCTGGAGTCTGACAGATCAGTTTGCCACCTTGATTCACACTTATACCCTTCCTGAGCACCGCAGGAAAGGTTATAACCGTCTTGTTGCCACCATGTTAGCTAAGAAGTTACATAGCCAGGGCTTTCCAGTTCAGGGTAACGTCCTGGAGGAGAACATACCAGCTATAACATTGTTCAAAAGCATGAACTGTCAATTTCTGCCCTGCCGATTTTTCAGACTCATCCACACTCCTTTCCGGTTTTTAGCCAGCCCTGACCTATAGTCTAAGCACCGGTATAAGTTATTGATCTCCTGAGTATCTCCTCCACTGTAACTAGGTGAAATATTACAGCCTGTGTTATATGGGAAATCAGACTAGATGATCATAATGATCCCTCTTCTGGCTTTAAAAATCTCTGAATCTAATATACCCTAGTAACTGTTCACGGTATCTCAGTTCAGCAAATCAAAGAAAGATAAGAACGGATTTAAGTCTAGCATTTGGTTATTGCAATTCATCTGTAACTGACATCTCCACTGTATTCCCTCTTATTAAAAGGACAATTCCTTTAGCTTAGCGAACTGTCTTGTATACTCAGAGAGACAAGATAGGCAAGCTTATATCTTTTATCAGACCTACCCACATTTACTGGACAAACCAGACCTCTGACCCCTCCTGGCCTCTTCAAGTGCACCTCATCTAGATCTCAGGCCCTGGGCTGTCTCTTGGGGCGGAATCACATAATTCTCCCACTTTCAGACTAGGCCCCGGCTTGCAGTCCCCTGTGTATCAACCATGATCACCTTGGCAGACATGTCCAGACCCTACAGTTCTGTTCCCTCTGGGGAAATGACAGTGGTAATCAGCAACCAAACAGCCTCCTTCAAGCAAAGTATTATTTAGAACCAAAGCATTTCAGAGAAAAGTGGTCTTTAGTAATAAGGCACACTACATGCCTCTCTAGCTCACCAGGTGGTTAACAGTCTTACTACAGACTCCACATGGAAGATAAACTTCCTATAGACTCTTCTGCAAAACCGCTGTGTGTGTCAGCGTCTCTCCTCCCTGTCAGAGCTCCATGATATTCTCTGGACAGTCCAGGGATCAAGGCACTATGGATATGCCTGCACTGAACTTAAGAGGCGTGACTGCATCTCCTGTAGACATGCCTGAGCTAGCTTCAATCTAGCTAGATCAAAGGTAGCTCGACTAACAATAGCAGGATAGTCACAGCAGCCGGGAGTGGGGTCGTGGTCTTTTTATTTACGCAAAAGAATAAATGGACACAAATCTCACATCAGGAATCATAACATTCAAAAACCAGTAGGAGAACACTTCAATCTCTCTGGTCACTCAGTAACAGACTTAAAGGTGGCAATTTTGCAACAGAAAAGCTTCAAAAACAGACTCCAACAGGAAACTACTGAACTTGAATTAATATGCAAATTAGATACCATCAATTTAGGTTTGAATAGAGTCTGGGAATGGCTGAGCCATTACACACATTGAATCTATTTCCCCATGTTATATTCTCACACCTTCTTGTCAAACTGTCTGAAATGGGCTATCTTGATTATCACTGCAAAAGTTTTTTCTCTTAATTAGCCTCTTAGAGTTGGTAGGGAAACTCCCACCTTTTCATGGTCTCTGTATGCGTATGAATATCTCCTTACTATATGTTCCATTCTATGCATCCGATGAAGTGGGCTGTAGCCCACGAAAGCTTATGCTCAAATAAATTTGTTAGTCTCTAAGGTGCCACAAGTAACACAACACCTCGTTCACGCTGGCGCCGCGGTGCTCCAGCGGGGGTGCAGCAAACGTTATTCCACTCGCCGAGGTGGAATACCAGCAGCGCTGTAGCTGCGGAGTCAGAGCGCTCTACGTGCCTTGCCAGGGTGGATGGGGAGTGAGCTAGTGCGCCCGGGGCTGCTTTATTGCGCTGTAACTCGCAAGTGTAGCCAAGGCCTAGGTGTTCTTATCTGGGAAGCCACTGTATTGCTTTGCTCTTTGTTCTTCCCACAGCCACTATTGCATTAAAACATTATGGTGTATAGTAAACATTCCACTACCCCAACATAAATTATACAGTCTCTCAATAACTAGGTTATATCACTATTCATAGATTAACACATAGCAGATCCATGACTGTCACGCTCATCGTTTCAAACCAGCTAATGATCAAGCAACGAATGGCACTGTTTCCTTTGTTAACAAAGCCCATGGGGATGTTCACAGTACCTAGGAACGTGCCCTCATGTGTTGGGCCTACAACAGATCAACAAATTTAGCAACACCACACTGGGAAAATTGAGTGGTATATTAAACACAATGCTTATGTTAGCAGCCTCCCTTTGTATATTTGGGACACATCTGATTTAACTACATCCCCAAAGAGACATCACAGATAAAAATATGCTGAATGTTAAACAAAAGAGCAGTTCTCAGGTGCTGCAAAGATCTCTCTCCTGTAATGCAAAAGAAATGGCTTGTGGTTCTTTCAGATGTTGTTACATTCAAGTGAATTCTCATCAGCAACAAGCTAACATGGGTCCTTCTTTAAAAGACATTTTGTCTGTGCACAATGCCAGCATGAATACAAAGATAATTTTGAGATGTCACTTCCATCTGGTCACCCAGTGTGTTATGTGCTGGAAGTCTGTGCTTTATTGTCCAATTTAGGGCCCGATCTCTCAAGTACTTTCTCTTGAAGGTAATGAGTGGTTCTGCATGTAGTCATTAAAAAAACAAGAAACCTCATTACACTTTCTGCAGGAGAAGGGATTTGTCCTAGTGTATTTTCCCAAAGTTTCCCCTCTTCCCACAATGGTGCTGTCTTCTGTATACTAGCTGCC